TAGACGAGTGAATATATTCTCCTCTGCAGTAAAACCTTCATTTATGACTGTTTTATTAGACAGACTTTTTTATTTGTGTGCCTATAAAACTTTTTTATTTTTTATTTATTTATTGACTTCATCATAAAACCAGTTTTCTTTTATGTTGATGAGTGCTCACTTATTCCTTACATTCACCTCACGACCCACAGAGGGCAGTAATAAACACATGCTACCTACCAGGAGTGCCAAAGTGGCGTTAGTGTCCATAAAAGCTAAACAGCAGCACTTGTGTGCTAACATTAGCATTAGTGTGCAGCCTGCAACAGGCTGTTCTCTTTCTCTTGTGTAACAGGGGTGTTTTCTCTAAAACTACAGTATAGCCTAAAGTAAATATCTGAGACTAGTATTCAGCATAGAGGTCTAAAATAGTACAGGACTCTATGCACCCTGCCAAGCTCCTCTTAATAACTCTCCCCTCAGGGAAAACACTCGATCAAAACTAAGACTTTCTGTTTCCTTAACAGCACTAATCGGCCCTCACTGCAAGGGACACCTAGCCACTCAACAAAATCAGGGCTGCTTGATGTCCTGGCTCCCAAATGGTGGAAAGAGATCCTCATCGACATATGGACTGCAAAAAATCGACATCTTCTGCCGCAGGCTAAAGACATCTCTTCCGACTGCACCTTGGTTAAGAGAATAATGTCTAATAACAATCGTGAACTCTGGTGTTTATATAAAAAAAGATTTTTAAAAGTTAGTTGCACTTATACAGTAGCATATTGCACTTACATGCAGCACTTGTAGTTTGGCTTTTTTTAAAGCTAATTGTACTGACATGATTCTTGCTGTTCTGTGTTTGTACCCTCATGATTAAATGCACTTATTGTAAGTCGCTTTGGATAAAAGTGTCAGGTAAATTATATGTAATGTAATCTGAGCTGGAGCAGTGCATTACTGGAAACAAAGCACTGCAGGTTAACCCTGAGCTGAGCATCTGTGGATACTTGGCCTGACAGGACCCACATCGGTGCATGGTGCGCACACAGACCTGCACTGCACTATCAGACCTGGGTTGCATCTCCTGAGCTATCTCTTGTCTCATAATATAAGTAAACTTGGTTTTCAGAATTAAAAGGCTACACTTAGAGGGAACATTTTAACTAAAAGGTGTAGCAGTAAAACCGTGGAACATGTGACACACATTTATTTAGTTATGTTTGATTTTTTTTTCTGTAAAAGGCATACAAAGATTATTATTAGAATTTTCTTGAATGCATATTGGCTGACTCAAATCAGGATTAATTTATTTAATTCACCGTGTTTTTCCTCAGGGGCCAATTGACTCATCTCACATCTAAGACTACTATAACTATGGCATTTCATTAACATTTGCAGTAATGTTACACTGAATTTTTGAAGCCACCCAGCATATCACCCACCCGCCCTAGTTAGACAAATAGATAAACAAAACAAGAAAAAACAAATGGACCGCAGATTTGCAGACACACCTGACAGGACATGACAAGCATCATGCATCCTGACAGATTTACAGACAAACAGGTTGACAAGACAGGACATGACAAATCCACGTATTTATGACACATTTGAAGGTACAGTGTGTAGATTTTAATGATATCTAGTGTTGACATTGTATGTTGCAGCTGAATACCCCTTACCTCACCCTCCCCTTCCAAAAGTGAAAAATAACCTGGTGTAGCCTTTAATTGTCATAAAAAGTCAAAAGGTGTTAAGTTTGTCAAGTCTGGACTAATGTAAAAAACATGGCAGCCTCCGAAGAGAGGGTTCCCTCGATGTAAATATAAAGTATTTAAATATAAAGGGCCTTTTCTGGGGTAAAGAAAACTACAATTCATACAATTTAGATGAAATTAACTAGTGAAAACATCCTGAGGATTATTCTACATTAAATATCTGCCAATAGTTCCCTTTCACCTAAATCTTACACACTGGACCTGTAATATGTAAACACCAGTGTGTAAAAGATGGGTGCATTTTTTGTGACTAAATATTCTCATCTTCAACATGTTAATGTGTTTTTTATATGCACTGAAACTTATCTGTCTTTTTTCAAGATAAATGTGACAAAATATTAAGGTTATTTAAGTGTTATTCTACAACTGATTTTACACAAGCATTTCAGTTGTCAAGTGTGCATAAAGTGTGCTCCTCAGTGTGCGTAGATTCTGTTCTTACATAAAAACAAATCCCAGATAAGAAAACAGTCAGACTTAAGTAAGTGGGTTTTCATAAGAAAATTTTTCTTAAGAAAGGTTGGTGAATGAGGCCCAGTGTCTCCTTGAGGACGTTAGTTGAATAAACTTGCAGTTCTGAGTGACACTGCAAGGAACAAGTGGGGCAACCATGGTAAATGAAAAAAAAACAAAACAACAAAAAATATATATAAATAAAGCCAGATAAAACTTACATTTAGAGGCACAAAAATTGAGAGACCTCACAGTTGGTGCATTTTTTGAGGTATAACAGATGACTGATCAAAAATGCAGATTTTATAACCCACCTCTTCCAAACGCACTTGAGCTCGCATTCTTCCCAACTCGTCCTTTGCCTGGGCCCTCTCTGTCACACACACTGCTTTAGCTTTACTCAGCTCCTACAGTAAATACACGTTACATTTTCACATCAGATGGCATGTCAGCATACACTTATACATGTTTATTTAACTGTGTCCACCAACTGTGACTCTCTACTAACTGAACAGATATATATATATAAGAATCCAACACCCCGACAATAAGGTGTTCCCATGCTCTACATTGATGTTCAGCATGACCTGCAAAGTTGGAAAAAATAGCTTGCAAAGGGATGCCAACATGTGATTGGCACTACTCCTGATTAGCAAACTGACAGGCGAGGTTTAGTCTGACTTGTGTGACGATTAGTCAGGTTTAATAGGTTTCACGATAGCCGCGGTTTGATAAGGTCATGATTTCAAAACCGTAAGAATTGTAAAAACTATGATATCTAACTTATGGTGTGCCGCGATGTGAAATCTCTCGCAAGTCCTGTTTTCTGACCCCCCTTCCTATTAACCATTATAAATGTTGCCTGGAATTTAATTCAACTGTACTGAAAGGTAATAGTATGATAAGGACATGAAGAATGTGGCTGAACCCAGGACATGTTTAGTTTTTCAGAACTAAATATGTCACTCCCATAACAGTACAACTTCTGTTGCTGACCCTTCAAAATAAAACTCCCACACAGATAAATAGATAAACATTACACTATAAAAACTAACTGGATAAAGTTGATGATAATAATATTTTAGTTCATAAACTATATTATTAGCTATCTATTAGCTATATATTGCTTGTTGTGAGTCTTTTTCCTTCTATAGTATCAATAATATATCGTAGAATATCGTGAAACCATGATATTTCCTCTGACAATAATCGGGGTACCAAAATATAAAAAAAAATTAAAAAACACTATGACACTAACTGTGACCTAGCTTTTGGCACAGCATATGACCTTTCTGAAAAATCTAACTTCACCATTCATAATCATGACTTGAAAGTTGATGTGAGCTATTTACAAGTTGGACACTAATAATCACAATAACCCTGTCTCTACATTAATGCAGCATAACAAATAACTACAATCCGTTATTAGTTACTAGTGCAGTGCCAGTTCTTAACATGCCTGTTTGGAATGTGCTGTTTGCTTTGCCTGTAGTAATGCTCTGAGGCCTCATTTATAAGTGCTATAATGCTTGTGTTTCTACTGGTTCGGTTCTATCGGTCAATCTAATACTGGACTCAGTTCAGCACAAGGATCCAAGGTCACAGATCTATACAATCTCTATGAACTGATCACTGAACCTTTGCTTCCTCCTCATCCTTTCATTTGTGTGCATCCATCACGCATTATGCACGAGTGTCCTCGCAGTATTTACATATTTACAGTCATCACCAATTACTTCAAACATCAGGGGACAATATTTGGAAATAGAAATTTGAAAGTGAATAGTTTTTATTTATTTTTGTGAGAGATCTCTAGTGCACTCTGTTGCGCCTGATGGCACAGAAATGTTCAGAGCAACGATTTTACACACACTCGTCCTTGATATATGCACAGTGTTACAGGATTTTATTAAAAACTATTAATGACTCTGCTTTGCAACTCCGCTGTTTATTATTATCTGAATAAATTTGGTGTAAGTTGTTTTAAATATTTTTCAATTGAAGGTTCTTATCGAACAAGATATATCGTGAAAGCACAAATAAGTTGTTGGTTTTAATGATCATGATGAAGTGAATCAATAATATGCTTCAGTTCACCTCCTCAAGTCTTCATCATCATTTCCTGTCTCCAAAATGTCCATACGCATGGGTCAGAGATGGCGTTGTGAAGTCTGCACATTCACCCATTAAGTTTGTTTTTATAAATCCCAACATTTGTGTGAGAAGTGGCGTATGCATGTGTCAGGCCCCATTTTGTGTGTATGCAATGGTCAGAAATAAGGCCCCTGGAAAATACATGAGAAGGATTCCTTGTCATTAACGAGTCCTCCTCAAACAGGTTTACAATATACCGTCACATTTTATTGTTTGCATGATGGACGTTGTGTGCATAGCTTTTTTTAAACCAAGGATCACATTTTAGGTTGATATTTGAACAGTCCAATTGAGTCAAACGGACTGATGGTGAGAGAGAGTTCCTGAATCATGGTGCACAGCAACTGAAGACTCTGGCACCCACAGTGGTGAGTTTGAATGCAGGGACATATGGTGAAAATAAAAATTATCATAATGATCTGGTGGCGAATTTGAAATTTGGTCTGACCCGGTTACTAAACATCACTGTATTTTATCAGAGGACATAGAAGAAAATTAAACTCCGTCACCAGACTGAAGGCACACTACCCCGCCCCTACTGACTGTTACAGGGCATTGGTCACCTTTTCAATGCTTTTCAATGCATTTCAATGTTTATTAAAGTAGTAGTTCACCAAAAAATTAAAATTCACTCATTATCTACTCAACACTATACTGATAGAGGGGTGGGTCGGGGCTTGAGGACACTTGGATGACACCACTTGAGCAATATGGAGGCATGTTATGTTTTTCCTGTTGTTTTATTACGTTTGAAGAAGGACTTACCATTGACTTCAATCGTATCAGATTCTGCTGCAACAAATTATACCACTGAAACTCCAAAAGACTTTTGTGGACTCAAACACTTCACCCACCCCACAATAGGCAAAGTGGTAAGTAGAGCCATATTGTGTCCTTTTAAACATGACACTGAGCTCTGACCTCCTCCAGTTGTATCCGCTGTCCCTCCAGTTTGAAGATGCGTTCTTGCAGAGCTCTCTCACTCTCCTCTAGATGACAATTCACATGCTCCACCTGTATAGAAATTTTAATATTTAGTATAATTTCTTTTAAAAAAGTCTACATCTATTGTCACAGATGAAGAATGTGTGTGTGTAAACTTTGAAACAATTCTCTAAAATTAATTTTCAGGTTTAAACTGGTACATTTTCCATTAGTGTTTGTCTGTAAATAATGTGTATGTGTTTACTGTCAGCCAGGCTGACCAAATTTTCAGTCAGGCAATTAATAAAAAGTCAGTTTAAGAAAGCTGTCAGAAAGTATAAAACAGGCTGGAAAAAACCAAGGGTTTACCCATATTGCAACCCATTGCATTTGATTTGTTTTGTTTAGTTCTTGTGACTACAATATTACAGATTGCAGCAACCATGTTACAGACTACAATAATTAGAGCAAAAGGGCAAAAAAATGAAAAGGTAATCAGAATGGTCTTTCTCCTTAAAATGGTGTTGCATACTCTTGCAACCTGCATAGAACAGAGCAAAGAGAGCACCTGTTTCTGTCGGAGACTGTCCATGTCCCTCAGGGCTTGCTTGGACCTTCGTTTCTCTGTTTCCAGACGGTCTAACAAAGGGTGACAGAGGACATATCAGTTGCGGGTTGCGTGACAAGGACTGTGTGTTTGTATGCATTTGTGTATGTGTGTTTATGCCTCCTCCAGTGGCCGGTGGCATTATGTTTTCGGGTTGTCCATCCGTACATCCATACGTCCCATTCCTGTGAATGCGATATCTCAAGAATGCCTTGAGGGGATTTCCTAAAATTTGGTACAAATATTTATTTGGACTCAAGGATGAACTGATTTTGCTGGTCAAAGGTTAAAGGTCAAGGTCACATTTTTTGCCTTGTAAAGGTGATATCTCTGGAACACTATCAAGGAATCCTTTCATATTAGGCACAAATATTCATTTGAACTCAGGGATTCACTCACTTGATTTTGGTAGCCAAAGGTCAAGGTTCCCTCACAAAGTATATATATGTTTTTCTTGAATGTGATAGCTTAGGATCAGCTTGAGGGAATATCATAAAATTTAGTTACATGATTTTGTGTTTGTTTTGAACTCAATATATCGGGAATGCCCGAAGGGAATTTCATCACTTCTGGCACGAACATTCATTTGGACTCAAAGATGACCTGAATAGTATTTGGTCAAAGTGACATAACAAAGCAAATATTTTGCCTTGTGAATGGAATATCTCTTAAACACCTTGAGGGAATTCTTTCACATTTGGCACGAACATTCACTTGAGCTCGGATTTCATCTTGGTAGCTCAAGGTCAAAGGTCAAGGTGGCCTCACAAACTATGTTTATCTAGCATAAAATCTTAAGATCAGCTTGAGGGAATGTCTTCAAATTTAGTACAAACTTTCACTTGGACTCAAAGACGAAATTATTAGAATTTGGTGCCTGGAGGTCAAAGGTCACTGTGACCTCTTCTACTGTGAATGTGAGATATTAGGACTGCCCAAATGGAATGTCATTACATCTGGCACAATTCACTTGGACTCACTGAATAGATTTCTGTGATCATAGGTCAAGGTCACAGTAGCTTCAAAAAACTAGTTTTTGGCCTCTTGAATGTGATATCTCAAGAATGCTTGAGGGAATTTCTTTTTTTCTCAAACTTTTTGTCAGTTGTCACTTGGACTCAAAGATAAGTGATTATGTTTCAGTTGTCAAAGGTAACAGTTACAGTGACCTTTATATGAATCTGGGAAAAAAGTATGTAGAAATATATACACAGAAACTGCATTGGTTGGCAGAGGCATACAACCGCAGTGCAGTGTTTCTAGGTTTTGCATGTATGAGTGCTACCTTCTGCCTGAGCTAGTCGTAGCTTGAGCTCAGCTGTACTGTTGGTCATTTCCTGCTTGAGCTCAAAAATCTGGTGTTGTTGCGACTTACACCATCTCTCCATCTCCTCCACCTAACACACACACACACACACACACACACACACAGTTAGACTTACATCTATCATATCTGTCACAACTGACACAAATGTATTGTTCAGTAGTCTTAAAATCGACTGGAGCACCTGATTTATATTTTCTCCTACCAATCTCTCTGAAGAGATCCCAAAACGTTGGACACCTAAACCATCAACATGTCTTTTACATCCTGTTCCAAATAGACAGTTGTAAGAATGTATTTTTGCTTTAATAAATTCATCTTTATTGCAGGCTTTTCAGACTGCAGTAATCTAATCTTTGTTCAAAAAAAACAATTTTGACCCAGATGTTAGTCATGGAGTTTGTCAAGGTTCTGTGCCAAGGAAAGATGCTTTATATTTTTCATCATTCAAGAGGTTTCTTCATTTGTAACTAACCTCTGAGGGATTGTTATCAAGTTGAAAAGCTGACAAGTAAAATTTGGCAAAACTCGTAAAAACATCATCCAAGGTAAATTCACCACTAGCCGTTGATGTAGTATCAAGAATATGTGTGGGTAGGAACCTTTAACATGTAATGTTGCAATAAAGAGTTTGTAAGTCAACCTGTACGTTGGTCTGTCATGTTCCTGTGTCACACCTCCAGATTATGATTTATAATCAACTAACTTCTAAGGTGTCATAAGTAAAGTTGACACATTAAGGATGTAAGGTTGGTGTGTAGTGGTCTTGAGAGCGTCCGTTTTAGCGTTCAAGGCAGTTGACGAAGTGTACACAGTGCTTCAATAGATTTTGTATCGCGTCTGGATTAGAGACACAAGTGGAGGAAAATCAAGTGAATGTGCTCATCTACACACTGGGAGAGGTGGAAGAGGACATACTGATTTCCCTGCACCTGAGTCCGCGAGTGAGTATGACACAGTTAAAAGTAGGCTGGATGCTCATTTTGTGGTTCACATAATCTTTGAGAGGGCAAAGTTTAATCAGCCATCGCAAGAAGTGGGCGAGTCGGCTGACAGCTTTCATAAAGCTCTGCATTGCCTCTTGGGGCACTGTGGATACAGGGCTCTACATGATGAGATTGTGAGAAACAAACGCCTATCAGAACAGTTACAAATGGATTCTTAGCTGACGCTAAAATAAGCAACACAATGCAAAAGATGTGGAGATGCAAGAGGCCACAGTCACCATACTCCAGCAGTTAAAGAAGTACTGTGAGGAGGGATAACCAGACCAATTCTCAATTGAAAGAGTGTTTCAACCCTATCTGCCACTCTCAGGTGAGCTCACAGTTCAAAATGGTCTGCTGGGCCAGCAGCATTTCAACACAAATAGTGTGGACATCAGGCGTGAATGTAGCAAAAGTGATGTGTATACCAGAAGGTATTAGTGTGGAGGTAGCATTTTAATAAACTTGTATTTGAAGTCACATGAGGCCAAGTTTGAATGGTTGTTGTTGGCTTTCTCTATTTAATATTGGAATGTTGACCTTGCTCTGTTGTCTTATGTATAAATCGGGGTTATGTAACAAAATGTGTGTGTCTTGTTCAGCATCAGCATGAATGGTTTGAGTGCAAATACTGAATACATAAATTCAATGTTCTGAAAACAAAATTACTCTTACTTTATTCCTGAGTTGGCTGTTGGTTTCTGAGAGGTTTTGGATCTCTCTAAAGAGTTTTCCCTCTCGCAAAACACAGTCCTACAGGATGGGGAAAAAAATTATACTGAGGCAAGCCAAGGGAATTTTATTGCAAGCACCTTTCATACACAGAGGTTGATCAGGGTGCTGTACAGGAACATTCAAGAAAAATAACACTGAGACAAAATTTAAAGAAAACTATTAAAA